GTTTAAGTGCCACTTTGGAAGCCTACAATGAGGGTGCGTCGGTAATACTGGTGGAAGGTGAACGCAGCTTAGGAGGTAACAGTGCGAAGGTGAATGTTTTTTTAGAAATTGGCTACTTCTATTGTTTTTCACCAAACAAAGACCTTTCTCGTCTTCAGGCGTCAAGTGGTATGGCTGCGTGTAACACAGAAGCCCAAAGGGTACGTAACATCAGCGACTCGACAGATTTGTTTTATTCGGACACAATGGCATCTGGCGATCGAGAGAACGACCCTTCGCTTGTAGACGTATTGGTTAGTCCTCTATTTGATATGGCGTTTTTGAGGGGACAGAAGTCATTTAAATGGAAGATTTGTTAGTTAAATACGTACTGCCGTTGAAAATAAGAGTAATAAGATTTTAGGTCCACGACTCGGCAAAATCGGTTCAGTGGCTCATTGATTTGGGTGTTAATCTTTCTGATGTCAACCTGTGTGGTGGTCATTCTGTCAAACGTGTTCATTGGTGAAGAAGTTTTAAGTTCATTGGTTTAACTGGGAGGCATTATAGATTACTGTGTACTTTAACTTTTTAGCCAACTTTTTAGCAATGTTTTTGTTCGAGAGTAGGTGTTCTGACAATTCTTTCGTGTAATTTACTATAATCAAGTCACATTCTATTTAACTGAATTGAAGTCGTGATTTAATTGTAAGTTAATGGGTAACCGCAGTGCGGCTCTTTAAGCGGTTCTTTTTTCAGGATTCCTTCCCCCAAGCAAGGCAGACCGACACCTGTTGGACTTGGGATCGTCAAAGTTTTGTCTAAACGAATCAACGACATTGCAAAGGAACATCCTGACAAGGTCACTGATTATCTTCATGCTAAACGCTGTTTGAACCACTGGTCATAAAGCATTTTTTGTTGAATTTTTTCGAGTTTTGCATTGTTTTGGCCTTCTTGACATAATGATGCACACTTCTAAATAGTTTCAGCTAAAAATTTATACCGGTACTGAGGTTGTGGGCCTTGTCACGTGGAACGATTTTGTAACAGGGGTGCGAGTACGAAACAGTTCAACAAACGAAATTGGTTAAGTGTGGGACTGACTTGTTTTTACCCCTTTTTTGGCCTAATTTGATTTGCAACATAGTTTTCAAAATTTTAATTAGCGTGCTGCTCAGATGAAATAAATGGTAAAGCTGTTGTACTTGCCACTGGCGGGTTCAGCTGCGACCGAGGTTCAGATTCATTACTAGCTGAATTTGCTCCCGAAAAAATGTCTTTTCCGACCACGAACGGCCCCTGGGCTAGAGGCCGCGGGGTTAAAATGGCTCGTGCTATGGGTGCCGCATTAGTGGGAATGAATCGTGTTCAGGTAAGTGAGGTCTTGAAGTCGAAATGCATGTTTTTTCAAAAGTGACATTTCAGGTTCATCCAACTGCTTTTGTTGATCCGCAGGACCCGACAGCAAGCACTAAAATTCTTGCAGCAGAAGCCCTTCGTGGTAAAGGAGCAATTCTTGTAAGCATTGATTTGCTTCTCTTATAATAAGTAATATGGGACTGTTGTTTAGGAAATTTTACCTTCTATTCTTTGAACTTTGATATTTTACATTCAAAAGGTTTTGATTCGTACAGATTGGTTATTTCTTTCACAAAAACTCATTCTTCAACGTTACTAATAAGCAATGTAAGATAGTGTTTATCCTTGGCCTACTGTAGTTGAACGAAAAAGGACAACGATTTGGTAATGAGCTTGGAAGGCGCGACTACTTAACTGGTCGAATTCTTGAGAACTGTGCCACAAATCCCACTGCGGGTGGAGCCCATGTCGCATACCTTCTCATGACGGAACAGAGCGCAGACGACTTCGGTAGACCCGCATTTAATTTCTATGCGGACGTCAAGGGGTTATTTAAGGTTTGATTAAAGTGTTATGCTTATCAAAGCCATAACTCTTCTTAATAGTGAAAATAAAGATGCAGATCCTAGAGGTCCAAAGAGTAGCAGCGGTTACTTTTGTTGTCATGGCACATCACACCTTAATCCTAGTTCGCTTTCAGAGATTTGGAAACGCAGCAGAACTAGCTCAGTTTATGAAGGCTGATCCAGAAACCGTAAGGAAAACTTTGAATGAGTATAACGATTACGTGATTTCTAACGATCCAGGGAAAGTAAGTAATTCAAAATTTCAATTGAGATTTGAAAAAGCAAGAGTGTTATTGCTAAAATAGATTTTTGGGCTTAATTTATAAAGTTCACTAGTGTTCTAATCTTCTTCTGCAATTTCAACAGCGAAATTTACAACTCCAGCTATAAAAGTTTTTCAAAAAAACTGAGTAGCTCAAAGAAAGCTTCTTATACTGTACTAACTAGAATTCAGAATTACAAAGTCAAATTGCAGAGTTCTTTGAAATGTTGGGATAACTTGTTTTCGTACTCATAGAAAATTTTCCTGTACCAATTTACTGAAATACATGCAAAACCGACAGCTTTCAGCATGACGAATACGGCAAAAAAGTGTTCCCAGCTGGTTTTCCTCCGGATGCCCCAATATATGCTGCCATGATTACTCCTGCCATTCATTACACTATGGGTGGTCTGAAGATCGATAAGCAAGTAAGACTACTTACTGAAAACTTGATCGCTAACTAAAACGACTCA